AAGCAACAGTAGAAGAAGCCAGAGTGAATCTGCTGTCTTAGCTCCCCCTCTTGGGTTTTACAGATGCTAATAAAAACATTAGGTTAATTAATGAGAAAATGAGGAGAGGCAGAAGGGAGAATCAAGGGACTTGTTCCAGCAAGGTGGAAACTTGTAAATGGTTACTAAGAAATAAGAAGAATAAAGGAAACTTTGGTAAGGCCAAAACAGAGAAGAAAAAAGAAAGTCAAAGGACTCATCTCAGCAGTGTGAAAATCTTTGGATTTTTATTAAGAAACGGGATAAAGGAAACAGACATTGATGAGTTTGAAACAAAGGTCTTAAGACAGAACTATGCAAAATTGGGTGGACCAAAGGGACTTCCTCCATTAAAGGGCCCCAAACAAGTCCACTCTATTTACTCCAGTGTAGAGGAATTTACAAAGCCAAAAGACAAAGATTACAAACAGAAATCTGATCTGAAATCAACTAGGGCAATAGTCAGGCAGATTCACTTTTGTCATGACAAAAGGAACAGGGCTCAACCTCTCACTAGGGACCCAAAGCCTTCTGCACATGAAAGGGTAAAATGGTCAGGGGGTAGGGAAAAAAGTTTCTGGGACTCCATGACCTGGGAGCCTCATTCACTGTGGTACCAAAACTTGTTAGTGAAGCCCTATAGGGGGTCTTCAATTTGACTGAGAGAAGATAGAAATGTTTAAGTGTTGATGGGATTAAAGTGGAGGTTTAGATGGAAATCGAAATGTTTAAATAGGCTCTATGTGAAGAAATTGTGTCTCCTTTAACTGAAAGTGTTATGAGAATGGATATTATGTCTTACTGGGGAACAACTCCCTTACCTCATTTTATAAAACCAAAACCTGTTGATAGGTCCCAGTTAGGAGTGGAAGGGTTGAAGGATTAAGGTAAAAGTCTGGGGGAAAGCTGGTATGTTTGAAGTGGCTGCATCTCCTTTACCTGAATGTCTTATGGGCATGGACACTGTGTGTGACTGGGGAATTAACTGTTTCTATAAAACAGAAGGCATGTAAATCTGTCCTATTAATTGGACGTGTTAAATGGGGGTGGATGAGATTGCCCAAGTCCACGGTGTAGATGAGAAACGGCAGTGCCGGTGGGAACAGATTCTGTGTGGTAGCTGTATGTGAAGCATAGAGTGGGATTTATGGCAAAAGTCTGCGACTGTTTCCCAGCAACTGTTGGGACTATGAAATGGAGAATTCCATTTGAGAGGCAATTAGTAGCCAGCTATTGGACGTTAATTGAAACTGCCCCTATCACTGCAGTACAAAAACAATCTTAACATCTGAAATACACATAATGTCTTAGGTGATGTCACAGAAATGCTCTAAGGCTTTTGAGAGGGCAATGCCCAGGAGAGTTCCATAATAAGACAGAAATGATTTATACAGGATTATGCTGCCTGAGGAATGCAAACAGGAGGTACTCACAAGCAGTGAGCCTCTTTTCCCTTAGGACTGACTTTGGGACTATATGAGGCTAAATCATTACTTGGATGGTGCATGATAAACAGCTCTGACTGAACAACAAAGAGCTGCTTGGTTTATGGGTGGCAGTTCCAAGGTAAATGAACAATATTCTGTTTGGAAGACCACCATTCCGATTGAAGATGTAAAAACAAATCAACTCAGTGGATGAATTCCGTGCTGTTTTCCTAGCAATGATGGAAGAATGGAACAATGACAAAAGCCTCTATCTACATTTTGGGTTTTACCTGAGTCGTGTGTAATGGGCCAGTGGCCTGGCCATAGGGATAGGCAGAAGGAAAAGTGGTCTTTTAAAGGGATGCCCATTGAAAGCATGACCATACAGAAATCACTATAGAAATTTGAGGGGTACATTAAAGTAGGACATGTCAATGCCCATCAGAAGAATCCCCTTCCAGGCTTGGAAGGTCATTGGAACCAAGCTGATATCACAGTGTACTTATTTGAAGTGGCTACCTGGGTCCATGAAAGGAATAGACATTTGGGGACCACAGCAATACAGAGGGCTGAAACTGGACATATTCCTTTTGCACTCTCTGGGGCTCAAAATTCCTTTTGCACTCTCTGAGGCCAGCAAGAACTGTTCTATCTGCCAACAAGAGAGACAGAAGTTGCCTATGGCTATGGGGAAGATTCCTCAGAGGAAAGGCCCCCCCACATAGCTGGCAAGTAAATTATACTTAACCAATGCCAGTAGCTAGGGTGGGAGGGCTACAAATGGGTTTTGACAGAATAGACATTGACTCTGGACTATGCACTGCTTACCTGGTGGTAGATGCAAATGGTCGGAGTACTAAAAAAAAAAAAAATAGATCGGAAGATATTGCACCAATTTGGATTACCAAATCATATTTCTTCCGGACAAGAAATACACTTTACAGCCTATACTGTCAAATGATGAACAGAGATATTGTCCTCAGAATAGTTTCATAGAGAATTGGAATAGGTAACTGAAACATTGGTTGCTTAAAACAGGGGAACTTGTAGGCATGAAGGGCTGGTGTACATGCCTTTAAGAATGTATGCTCACATTCAACATGAGCAGGGCTAAGGTCGTGTCCCCATTGATAGATTCCTGTTTTTCTGGTGGATCTGGGGAAGAGGGTTGGGGGAGGACACTAGTGTGACTATGCGATTTTTTCCATGGGGGGAAAATATTGGTATGACTATAATTCTTCCCAAGGGAAGAGGACACTGGTTTGATGACCGTACTTTTTTTTTCTTTCATTGGACTTTTTTTTTTTTTCTTTATCACCTCAACTTTCTCTTTCCTACTTGATGCAGTAGTCCTGGGACTAGGGCTGCAGCAAGTGCCAGAAACAGAATGACTCCTAGGCAAGAAACCATAACTATAGTTTTAAACCTTTATGTCAGAATTCCTAAAGGCCTGATAGGGCAGGTTGTGCCTTCACTCCATTTGCCCAAACTGAGATTAACAGTGAATGCCGCTCTACTGCTAGTGGCAAAAAGAGCCTGCTGGTTCTGTACCTAAGTAACTCCACCCTATAGGGATAGGAGTGGATTGAGGGGGAGGCACTTGCTAGACTAGTACTGCTGCCTGCAATCTAGACCAGCATGGCTGTTAAACCTAATGTTCCTTCCAAAAGTGGAAAGGTTCAGGTAGAAATGAAGAGAAGAAGGAATAGTAGCTGAGGGTAAAGAAATGAATCAATGGGTTATATAATGAAGGAAATCCAGGATTATATTAAAATCTGAAGAGAGGCTCAGAGCAAGAGAATAATAAATATTGTCTCTCAGCTCAATTATACCAGATGCTGAAAAGGTGAAGCCATATATTGCTGAGACCACTCCTGCTTTTGGAATCTGACAGAATCAAATGGAAGTCTGCAAATCTGAGTGGCCTTACCCTGGAAGACATTTTCATATGATATTATGATGGACTGGAATAATTATTAATGACTGAATGTGACTGTAGTAATATGCCAGTATCTTGACTTTATTTGTTTTTTAAAGATTTTATCTATCTATCTATCTATCTATCTATCTATCTATCTATCTATCTAAAGCCCACGAGCAGGGGGAGGGGCCGAGGAAGAGGGAGAGAGAGAATCTCAAGCAGACTCTGCACAGAGCACGGGGCCAGACACAGGGCTCTACAGGGGCTCAATCTCATAACCTTGAGATCATGACCCTGATATAATGACCTGGGCAGAAATCGAGAGTCAGATGCTTAACCGACTGAGCCACCCAGGCACTCTATCAGTATTTTGACTTTTATGATCCTTTTGCTATAAGAGATTCGTGGTCAAAGAGCAGTGAGTAGCTTATGGTAAAATACAAAAATATATTTGGTCTTTGTCCCAGGTTCCCGGCATAAGAGTTCCCAAAGCCCTTGGGATTTCCTGAGTGATAGAAGTATCTTTTGTTATTTATAACAATCTCCTTTCAATCACACCTGAGTTTATGCTAATGAGGTGACTTAGGGTAAGACCCCTAGATAACCTCAGGATGGGACCATCACCAGAAAGACAAAGTGATGGGGGGGCGGTGTGCAACTTAAGACTGAGCTCTATAAAAATTCTTGAACAATGAGTTTCAGAGAGTTTCTGGGTTGGTGAACACATCAAGATGATGGGAGGATGGTATGCCTGAGAGGGCATGGAAGCTCCAGCCCCTCCCACTCCATACCTTGCCCTATGCATCTCTTCCATTTGACTGTTCTTGAGTTGTATCCTTTATAATAAACTAGTAATAGTAAGTGAAGTTCTTTCCTAGATTTTGTGAGTCATTCTAGCACCTTATTAAAACTGAGGGGAGTGGTTGTGAAAAACCCTGCATTGTAGCCAAGCTGGACAGAAGTGCAGGTAATGTGGAGACCTGGAAGTTTCAACTGGTGTCTAAAGTGAGGGCAGTCTCATGGGACTGAGTCCTTAACCTGTGGGTTCTGTGCTAACTCCAGGAGTTAGTATGAGAATTGAATTGAATTGTTGGATGCCTAGTTACTGTCTGAAGAACTAGAGAATTGGTTATTGGTGTTGGGAAATACCCCAAACTTTCCATAATGAACAGTTATTATTTTTATAATGGAAAAGAGTCAAACATTTTAAAAATGAAGTTGGTATAACTTGAACGCTGAATAAGCGCCTTAAATTCTCAGTTTGCAGATATCCTTCAGCAAATTATTAAATATTAATGTTTTTTTAAAAGATTTTATTTATTTGGGAGAGAGTGGGTGAGAGAGCACAAGCAGGGGGAGCGGGAGATGGAGAAGCAGACTCCCTGCTGAGTAGGGAGCCCGATGCGGGGCTCCATCCCAGGACTCTGCAATCATGACCTGAGCTGAAGGCAGATGCTTAACTGACTGAGCCACCCAGGAGCCCCTAAGTATTAATGTTGGTAAAATGAAGAAAACTTAATTACTCCCAACTCAACCTACAAATCCAAGTTTTCCTTGGAGAGATCCTGATTTCTTCTACATATTAAGCTTCAACCATATCTATAACCATTTTTAGTCTATACACAATGACCCACCTCCTAGATCTTCATCTTCATTGGTTGGGCCTTCTGCACTGTCCACATTTTCTGTTTCATGTGGTTTGGTTAAATCGTAGTCATTCAAAATCACTGGACCTTCTAGGAGATAAAAAGAATTTTAACTATGCAGGCCAACTTTAAAGGATTTTTATAATATAAAACTTTTTATATATAAAAATGTAATATTTTTATTAAGTAGACTCCCATTTCAGCATAATCTCTTAATGACAGACAGTATCCCTTTCATAAATACCCCAAGTGGAATATATGTGAAGACTCTTGAGGTTCAGAAATATGCCCAGGGTGCACCTGAGTTAAAATGCATTCACATTCTTTCCTGACAGGAATTCTCTCTCCTTTGGTATGTCTCACAATATTCAGTAGGATGCTATTGCTATTTATGAACAAGAAGCATTATGTAGTGATGAGAAATACTGAGCTCAACAACACTGGCATAGCCCAATTTGAGAAACATGTTTTCCTGAGAGAAAACCCATAAGCAACTATATATCAAATCCTATTTTCCTTTTCTGTTCACATTATAAATGTGATTCTGTGGAAGACATATTGGCCTTCAAGTTCCTTTATTTCTTTGAACAACTAAATGCTGACAAGGCTACAGATATGAGTAAGTCATAATTCCTGTCTTTACGGAGCTTATAATTAGTAGATGTAGATAAGACAAGATCATAACTATAATGTAGACTCAGACAAGAGAGTAAGGGAAATACAAAGTATTACAGGAGTTCATAAGTGAAAGGGAGCAGACATAATAAAAGCATGCTTAAACAAACAGCAAAGTTGTTATAAATCAAGTTTAACAGAAATATACTTTTGTATATTGTATAAATACTGATAATATTAGACATTAGAAGAAAAGGAATAACGTAGCTGGCATTATTTCATGTTCAAGTATGGTAGCTTAAAAAGATGTTAACAAAAGAAATAAACTAAAAACATATTCACTTTCTATCAAACTCCTAATGTCCTTCCTAATATTCAATAAAATATCTACTGAGTAGCTACTACATACAACAAATAGTGAAAGATACTGAATCCTGTGGCATTTAAGCTAGGTGAAGCAGGAGAAGTGACTAGAAACTCTGCAGTGACATTCCTTTCAGCTGCACCCATGACTGAACACATGGAGCAGGACTTTTGCTGGAATGCAGTAGTAAAATGGAAACATATTTCATAAAATCCATGATGAAGATGTGCTAAAAATATGGTTATCATGGACTCATGTTTTGATTTATAAACACGTTAAGTTTCTCGTTTCTGCGTATTGTAACATATACTCTATGAACTAGACACTGTTCTAAATAGTAGCTCACTTTTCTCAAGCTCAAAATGACTAAGATAAAGTGCACACCTGAACAACTAACATGAGGTACAGGTTCAATTAAAATATTAGGTTATAACTGACCATAACAAAAAGGTACTTAAGTGATAAATTTTGTAATATAGCATAAATTTTGATCCAAAGTGAGTTAATCAATCCAGAAAACATTGAAGTTATTTTTAAGAAATAGATTTTAAATGTTTATAGTTTACTGTAGAGCAGGAGTCAGCATACAATGGCCTGAGAGCCAAATCTAGCCATGGCTTATTTTTGTATGGGCCCGGGAAGTAGGAATGGTTTTTACATTTTTAAAAAGGTTGTTTAAAAAGGAATAGCAACAGAGACCATATATGGCCCACAAAGTCTAAAAATTTACTACCTTGCCCTTTACACAAAACAGTTTGCTGACCACTATCTATAGTGAAAAGCACAAGCTGATAAAACATAAGCTACTATACCGTTCAACAAAACTGTCTTTATTTAAAACAGTCAGTTAAAAAAAAAATTTAAGGAAAAAAACAGCGATCAACATTAGGTGGGGTGTGATTTGGCCTGATGATGCCAAAGAATTTATGTAATCTAAATGGATGAGTTATTTTTGTATCAGAAAGAGACAACCACATTTTTTCCAATACATTTCTATAGCATTTTTACTGTGATCAGAATATTCTTCCTTTGGTAATTTCAGTAAAGGTATACTTCTAGAAAGACCTGATGTTACCTGTGGGCACAGACTGTTCCTGAGTGCTTTTCAGTTCCACATTTGGTTTTATATCTGAAAAGAAAAGGATTATAAATATTAGCTACTTAGACTAAATTTTTTTCAGATTTGGAGCATTCTAAATTTAATAAGGATACCATTTTGGAAGCTTTAGCAGATTTCCTCTTCAGAGCAGGACTGTTCTTTCCTCCCTCTATCCTCCCTAAAAAGTATCTCAAGGGGAATAAAAGGAATTATTTACACAGTAATTGTATTTTAAAGAGATGAAGAGGAAAAAATTAGTACTTTGTACTTAACATTTCTAGTACTTTTCATTTTTTCCTGACGACTTGAGTTCCCATCTGGTATCATGTTTCTTCAGTCAAAAGAGCTCCTATTAGCATTTCTAGTAGTGGAATTATGTGAGTGACAATTTTTCTTAGTTTTCATTTATTTGTAAATTTTTTTGCCTTCAATTTTAAAGATATTTATTTATTTCAGACAGAGAGAAAGACAGCAAGTGAGCGAGTGGGGGGAGGGACAAAGGGGGAGGGAGAGGGACAAGCAGACTCCACACTGAGTGTGGAGCCCGATGTGGGGCTTGATCTCAGGCCCATGAGATCATGACCTGAGCCAATATGAAGAGTTGGATGCTCAACTGACTGAGCCACCCAGGCATCCCCCCTGCTTTTTTTTTTTTTTTAAGATTTTTATTTAATTTTGCCTTCAATTTTAAAGGATATTTTTACTTGATACAGAATTCTTGGTTGACAGTTTTCTTCCAGCACTTTAAAGATGGTATTCTACTACCTCCTAGGCTCTACTGTTTCTGATGAGAAGTCAGTGGCATTTATATTATTGTTTTCCTATATATAATATATTCTTTTTCTCTGAAAGCTTTCAAGATTTTCTCTTTACCTTTGGTTTTCAGCAGTTTGACTATGATACACCAGGTGTGATTTTATTTGAATTTATCTCACTTGTGATCCCTGAACTTTTGTAAAATTATGTTTTTCACTAAACTTGAGAAATTTTCAGCCATTATTTCTTCAAATACTTTTTCTCCTCTATCCTCTTGCTTCTTCTCTTCCAGGACTTCAACTGCATGTTGTTAGACATTTTAATATTTTCCCACAACTCCCTAAGGCTCTGTTCTCCCCCCACCCCAATGGTTTTTTTTTCCTCTGTGTTGTTCAGATTGAATACTTTCATTGATATACCTTCAAGTGCACTTTCTTCTGTCATCTTAATTTGTTGTTAAGTTTGTCTAGTGAGTTTTCTATTTCAGATATTACAAGTTTTAGTTCTAGAATTTCCATTTTGTTTTTGTCATAGTTTCCTTGCCAAGATTTCCTATTTGTTAATTCATTACAAGCATACTTTCCTTTACATCTTTGAGTATGATTAACATAACTGTTTAAGATCCTTTCTTCCAGTTCCAATATCTATGTCATCTTGGGGTCAGTTACCATTGATTTCCTTTTATCTTGAGTATAAGCACATTTTCCTGCTTCTTCATATGACTTAATGATTTTGGATTGTACCCTGGACATTATAAATGATATGTTACAGAATTTCTGGATTTTGTTATGTTCCTCTGAAAAGCATAGGAGTTTTTCTTTATTTTACATTTCAAAGCATGCAATTAACTTGCCTAGACTCAAACTCGAATTCTGTCTCACTGTAGTGAGCAGCAACTAGAGTAACCAAATGGCCCAGCATGCCTGGGATTGAGGATTTTTCCAGATCAGAGAACTTTCATAGTCCCCGGGAAACTGGGACAAAATGATCTCCTGCAGAAGCATAAATCTCTGTTCAATATTTAGCCTCAGATAGGCTGCTCAGAGTGTAATCCCATATATATGTGTTTCAAAGATCAGCTAGAGATCTGGAGCAGCCAGAGAATTTATAGATAAAAAAGCCCTCTCTGCCTTTTTCATACCAAGATTTCCCTCCTTACTTCCCAGCCCGCTGTGGTTGCTATGGCTTTTTAAGCTAGTGTAACTGTGAATTATCTATCCAAATTTGGTCACCCTGAGGCTAAAATTGGTGCCTACCCTTGGGTCAAAACAAACATAAAAACAGGTTGGTTCTGACATTTTCCAATGCCTTCAGGTAATAGATTTTTTCATATTTTATCCAGAATCTATCATTGTTATCTGTTGGAAGGCTGGTTCAATAGGAGGTACTCCTCCATTGCTAGAAAACCTTCTTTGTTCTTTCTTTTAATGATGATCATATACCCAAAGCTGTTCAGGACAGTACTGATTTCAAATATTCAATACTATTATCTGGTCATATATACATTTTTTTAAGATTTTATTTATTTACTTGACAGAGAGAGACACAGCGAGAGAGGGAACACAAGCAGGGGGAGTGGGAGAGGGAGAAACAGGCCCTCCGCCGAGCAGGGAGCCCGAAGCGGGGCCTGATCCCAGGATCCCAGGGCCATGACTGAGCCGAAGGCAGACGCCCAATGACTGAGCCACCCAGGTACCCCATCTGGTCATATTTTAATTTTTGTTTTGAAAAATACAACCACTCTACTTATATTCTATTTTAATTTTAAAATTTTAACATATTATCCATTAGACGATAGCAGCAAAGCATAGAGGCAGGGAAAATACACATATTTTTAAAATAAGCAAAGGAGCAGCATGGTATGGGTTGTCAAAACCTAAGATGGGGGAGAGCAATATCTATGCAAGGAAGGGAGAGAGCCCAAGGAAGCTGCTGGAGACCAACTAGCCTGAAGAGTATGACATATGGGGTGGGCAGTCTGAATGAGGTAAGTAGGGATTCTATATGGAAGGCAGACAAATGGGAAATCAGAACCTGAGTAGGCTAGAGAGCATTCAGGCAGGAGAATTTCCTGACTTGGAAGGCTGGAGTCCAAGAGAAGTAAAGAGGGTATCCAAGATAAGGGACAGCTTAGCATGAGACAGAGCCTCAGCATGGTTAATAGGACATCTATGCATAGAGGTGGTCTGGTGTGGGTTTTCAGAGTCTAAGTGCGGTAAGCAAGGCACCCACATGGGGACAGTGGGGAGAGCTTCCATACACAGGGGTGCTCCAGTGTAAAGTATCAGAACTTGAGTGGAATGAAGAGGGCATCTACATATTAGGGACAGTCTTGCATGGAGGTGTCAGAGCCTGAGCAGTTGAAAAGAGTGTCCACATAGCACAATAGCTATTGTACAGGATGTCAGAACCCAAATGAGGCAAGAAAAGTATCTGTGCTGAGGAAGGGATGATAGTGGCAACAGATGATTGACTATATAAAGAGGCTTGATCAAATAAGTAAATATAACAAGGATAAGAGCCAGATTTTTCTCTTTCAGAGAAGGGAGTTACAAATACAAAAACAAAACAAAACAAAACAAAAAAACAAAAACCCTGTGGTACTATATTGGAAATGAAGGTACTGGCATGAACCCGTGACTTCTACTCTATATAACATATATAAAATACAGATGTAAATGTGTGTATATGTGTATGTATGGATATACATACATATAGTCCCTAGCCCTGTCCACTAATAGCACCCTGGAGCAGTGACACTACAACAACTTCTGACATCCAGATAGGAACTTCTTTTTTTTTTTTTTAAAGATTTTATTTATTTATTTGAGAGAGAGAGAATGAGAGATAGAGAGCACGAGAGGGAAGAGGGTCAGAGGGAGAAGCAGACTCCCCGCTGAGCAGGGAGCCCGATGTGGGACTCGATCCCGGGACTCCAGGATTGTGACCTGAGCCGAAGGCAGTCGCCCAACCAACTGAGCCACCCAGGTGCCCCAGATTGTAACTTCTAAATATCATTCTCCACTTAAGGGAACCAGGCTCCCCTCCTTGGAGAAATGGCTGATCCCAGGGTTGGGGCAGGGAAAAGTATAAGATGGGTCTGGAACATTTTGTTGCATCACAAAGCAAGGAGGTGCTAACAAAATGAAGAGGATATGCTAAAGGATATAGAAATCATCTTGAAGGGGTTTCCACCGGCCAAATCTGAGACAGGGAAGTGTCAAAATAACAACGATAGTATTGAATTATAAACTATTGAAAAAAATAAATTCATGAGTCCATATTGACATTAATAAGTAAGTAAACTGAAAGTCAGATGATGAATGGAATAGTTACATAGTTTCAAAGTGCTTCTCCCAAATTATTTATCATTACAAAGATGAAAAGAGCAACTACATAGTGAAGAACTTGGTAGACACCACTGTAACTAAACATAGGGATCATCATCTGTAATGCGACAAATGAAAATTATGTGCCATCTGATAATAAAAAGAATACAGCATCACTTCTGTGATATTGCTGCCAAATACACATAACATGCATCTAACCATGAGAAAATGAACTCTAATTGAGGGATACTTGACACAATAACTGGCTTTGTAATCTCCCAAACTGTCAAGGTCATGAAAGACTGAGGAACTAAGAAATTGTTCCAGACTGAAGGAGAGTGAAGAGACTTGACAACTAAATACAGTGTGTGATTCTAAGCTGACTCCTCCTGCAGTAAATAACACCATAGAAACAACTGGAGAAATCTGAATGGGGTCTGCGGATTAAATGGTAGTAATGTATCAGTGTTTATTTGCTGATTTGGATGTTGTTTTACATTATGTAGGAGAAATACACTTTAGTACATTAAAGTTTTCAAGGGTGATAGGGCATCATGTCAGCAACTTAGTCTCAAATTTCTGAAAAAATAGTTTTTGTACTGTATTACAAATTTTCTGTAAGTTTGATAGTGTTTAAAAAAAGTTAAAAAAAAACTAAATGTGAAACTTTTAACTGCACACTAAAGGGATTCTTAACAGGAAAAAAAAGAAAGAAAACTAGCTCAGAGGTTTCACATAAACAACCTTCATGTGAAAATATCTTTTAGTTACTACAGAGCAAGATGGCTTTTGATTTGGTGACCTAAAGGAAAAAAGGTCCCAGCCCCCTTGAACCTTTTAAATTCTCTGACAATGACATTTAAATAGCTCTCAACATTTTTTCAAGCAGCCTTTGTGTGCTGTAAATAACACCAGAAACAACTTAGTACAGTTTCTAAGAGAAAAAGGAGATTCTGACTACCTTAGTATTCAGAACTTACAGGAGACATTAAAACCATCTATAATCAGGCTACATGGATGTTCTCCTTAGGTACTAAAAAAATACTTAATAAAACACAAGGACAAAAGAGATTGAAGTACATTTTTTCCACCTAAACTTTAAGGTCCTCATACAAACATGAAGCTCAGTAGTGGATAGTGAAGGAATCTCCAACTGAAGATGAGAAACCTGTTAAATATTTCTAAGTACAGCAAAAACTTTTCAGTTTTTAATGGATCATTTTGTAATTTCTTTAACTTCAGTAAAAAAAAACCCTCAGAAATGTTCCATTTCTACTGGGGTCTTTTTAATATGTTGGCCATCAACATAGCTTTAAAATATTTTCCAAAAGAATGTTCTAGAAAGTTAAGAATGAAGGGTCCCTATATTGCTTTTGGAATAAATATAGTTTCCTGTACTGATGTTTACACATAACTGGAGCTAATGATGAAAGAATTCCAAAGTGGATTAATTTTGTTTAAGTATAAATCTCCTCTATTTTCTACATCTCTTCTGTTACCTGAATAGGTAAATCATACTCTCACCTCAAGATCTTTGCATTTACCTTTCCTTCTGACCAGAATGCTCTTTCCTCAGATCACCATGGGGCCCCACTTCTTCTCTTCATTCAGGTGTGTGCTCAAAAGTCACCTTACCAGACAAGCTTTACCTAACTACTCTATATAAAACATCATCCTCTATTGGGGGGCGGATTAAAGAGTACTCTTATCATGATGAGCAATGAGTAATGTATAGAATTATTGAATCACTATATTGTACACCTGAAACTAATATAACACTGTATGTTAACTCTAGGGGAATTAAAATTAAAAACTTAACAAAAAATTTAAAAAATTAAATGTCATCCTCCATTGTCATGTTCTTTTCTCTTACCCTCCTGTATTTCTCTTCATAAAATCTCTTCATTGTCACCACCTGGCATATATACACATATATTTGGGAGGGGAAGGACAGAGGGAGAGGGAGAGAGAGAATCCCAAGCAGGCTCCATGCCCAGCACAGAGCCCAAGGTGGGGCTCGATCTCACAACCCTGAGAAAATTACCTGAGCTGAAACCAGGAGTCAGACACTTAACTGACTGAGCCACCCAGGCACCCCTTAGCTGTATTTTTTAT